TGCTGGCTTGCCCCGCACTCACCTCCTGCTGTGGCCTGGTTCTTAACAGAGGCCCTGGGGCTAGGGACCCTTTCCCTGGGGAACATTTGGAATGTCTGTAGACATTTTTTTTTTAATTGTAAATCCAGCGTTGATGGGGTCTTACTAGCAGCTAGTGGGTAGAAGCCAGGGATGTTATAAGACATCCTGCAGCGCCCGGGATAGCCCCACATAGCGAATAAATAACTGGTATTAATTGTCAATACCACCTCGGGTGAGAAACCCTGACTTAGAGGGACCCTCTGGCCCTCCTCCTCTACCCATGGCTCACCCCGCGAGGTAAGGACTCTGTTGGCCAAGGCATTATGCTCACATGAAGCCTCATCTCTTTTCTAGAGTGATGTTTTCAAAGTGTGGTCTCAGACCAGCATCATCAACATCACCTGTGATCTTGGTAGAGAGACAGATTTTGGATCTCACCTGAGACTGACTAAATCAGAAAATCCGGGGATGAGGCCAACAAATCTGTGTTGTAACAGGTCTTCCAGGTGATTCTGATGAATGCTAAAGTTTGAAACCCACTGTTCTCAGGAGTCTAAGGTTCTGTATTTGAACCTAACAGATATGTTTGTCAAGAGAGGAGGAGAGAAATTTTCTTTGACAGCTTGAGAACTGGATTTATAACATCTAAATATGTAGACAAATGGCATTTGGGCCTCCATTTGTACTCTTGCTCTAGGTGCTGGATTAGATTATTGCTTAAATTTCCTTCTCCATGTGTGAATCCATGGATGCTATGGAAGGCTTTTGAGTCTGTATTCTCTGCACAGACTCATTTAGGATATAGAGACTTTGATGCTTAATCAAATGCTTAAATTTTCTCTTTTGCTTTCTACACAGCAGGACTTCTTAATTTGTCTTTTGATATAATGTTAAAAAAAGTTTTTAATTAGTTAAGTCAAAAGCAGTCCCAATCATCAAACAAAATTTGAGTGCTCTTAAGTTCCAGACACCTTTTACATAATATGATTTACATAGTTTTAAAAATTGAGAAGTACAGATACACACATTCTTCATGTGCATGTATATTACTATTATTATTTGAAAGGGAAGTTCATAATATTAATCAAAAATTCAAATTTTGATTCAATAATTTTATTTCTAGGAATTTATTCTAAAATGATACTTTTGCATGTAGGTGAATGTGAATGTTTAGAATGTTTACTGCTGCTATTTTGTTATAGCTCCAAATAGGATAAAACTTACACGTGCAGAAATTGGTTAAATAAATGTAGGAACATCCATTTATCAAACACTATGCAGCTATCAAAAGAACATGGTGTGCTGTTAATGGCAAAGAACTATGTAGTGGTCACAGTTTAAGAACTGTATTCTGACATCAGACCATAGGGATTAAATTACTAGCTTTGCCACTGGCTTGTTGTGTGCCTTGGACATGTTGTGTCCCTTGGACATGTTACTTGTTCATCTCCAAAATGGGAAATAATTATAACGTCTACTTCACAGAGTTGTTGAGATGATTAAATAAAACAAATTAGTCTTTTAGTGCTTGTCATACAGAAAATAGTTAACACCTATTAGCTATTATGATGGAAAGACTCCGAAGAAAAGTCAGTAAATGAAAATATCAAGACCACACTGAACAATGAGTGTAGACTAGCAAAAAAGGGATATATATACATGAATTGTAGAAAAAGCTTGGCAAAGATACTCCAACACTATTTACAGTGATTGTTCCTATGCTTCTAAGATAGGAAGAAGACAACTTTTTCATTTTATAGTTGTCGATATGTTTTTCTATGTACAAGTATTACTTTTATAATTTTCAAACTTATTTAATAAAACCCATATATCCGATGAGGTTAATATCCAAAATACATAAGGAACTCAAAGAATTCAGTAGCAAAAAGTCAAATAACCTGATTGAAAAATGGACTAAGGACCTGAACAGATATTTCTAAAAGGAAGACGTAGAATGGCCAACAAGTATAAGAAAAGGTGCTTTGCATCACTAATCATCAGGGAAATGCAAACTAAAATCATAATGAATTTTTATCACCTCACATCTGTTAAAATGGTTAGTTTCAAAAGGAGAAACCATATAAAAAGTGTTGGGGAGCTGTGGAGAAGGGGAAACCCTATACATTCTTTGTAGGAATGTTAATTGGTACAGCAATTATGAAAAACAGTATGGAGATTCCTCAAAAAATTTAAAATAGAACTATCATATGATCGATCAATCCCACTTCTGGATATTTATCTAAAGGAAATGAAATTAATGTCTCAAAATACGCTTATGTTAATTATGGCACTCTTCATAATACCCAAGATAACAACTTGTTTGTTGACGAATGGATGGATAAAGAAAATATGATGTCACAGTTTCTTTACACAATAGAATATATATTTCTTTATACAATAGATATATGTGCAAGTAATACATCCACACCCCCACCACATTTCTTTACACAATAGAACAGTATTCAGTATTCTTAAAAAAAGAAGGAAATTCTGCCATTTGAGGCAACATGGATGAACCTGGAGGACATGTTATGTGAAATAAGCCAAGCACAGAAAGACAAATACTGCATTTATATGTGGAATCCAAAAAAGTCAACTCATAAATGCAGAGAGTATAATGTTAGTTGCCAAAAACTAGGGGATGGAGAAAATGGGGAGATGGTCAAAGGATACAAAGAGTCAGTAACGTAGAATGCATAGATTCTGGGGATCTAGTGGTATAACATGGTGACTATAGTTAATACTACTAAATTGTATTCTTGCAAATTGCTAAGATTCTTGGCCTTAGAGTCCTTTTTTTTTTTTTGAGACGGAGTTTCACTCTTCTTACCCAGGCTGGAGTGCAATGGCGCGATCTCAGCTCACCGCAACCTCCGTCTCCTGGGTTCAGGCAATTCTCCTGCCTCAGCCTCCTGAGTAGCTGGGATTACAGGCACGCACCACCATGCCCAGCTGATTTTTTGTATTTTTAGTAGAGACGGGGTTTCACCATGTTGACCAGGATGGTCTTGATCTCTTGACCTCATGATCCACCCGCCTCGGCCTCCCAAAGTGCTGGGATTATACATGTAACTATGTGGTGATAGTTATGTTAATTAGCTTGATTGTGGTAACCATTTCACAATGTATACCTATATCAAAACATGACATTACAGCCCTTAAATATGTACAATTTTTATTTGTCAAGTATGCCTCAATAAAGCTGGGAAAGAAGGAAAGGAAAATTGAAGTCATGCAGATGCTCAGATTCTGTACGATGGCAGAAATACAACCATACGAATTCACTGGTTTTTTTAAATGGCCATAGGATGACATTTCTAGTGCTGAAAGTTTATGTTCGTGCATGAGGAACATGCCAGTGTTCAAGAATTTCATGGAAAACTAATTTTCATAATGACAATACTCTGTTCTTGATGATCAATTTCTCAGATTTTTCCACTTGTAACTGAGAAAATCTGGATAAATTGTCTTTCTTCTTGGAAGCTAATGAACGAAATGCAGAAACATTCCAAGTACAATAGTCTGTGGAGCCCTTCCTTGGGGTAGGTAGGGGGCCTTGTGAGTTGAAAGGCTGGTGTTCTTTGCAATGATTTTCCTATCCAGCATCAGTGCACACCCTCTCCTAATTGCACGCCCCATCAAGTCTCTTGTTGCCCTATGAATACTTGATTTAACATGACTTGATTAAATAACAAAATCTAAAGTTTACCTTCCTTTGGCTTTGCCTGGATTTAGGAGGTCCATTGGTAGTTCATTCGCAGAAGGGAATTCTCAGGATGCAGGCTATCAGGAGAAACACCATGACCAGTATGTGTGGTCTCTGACTTTTATACTTTCCAGCTCACTTTGCGTCTATATTCAGTACTCCTGGAACTGATGGAGATCCAGACTCATTTTGGCCAAGCAAAAGAAAAATTCTTATTTTTATAATAGGTTTTTTGATATCTTCAATAATCTAAGTCAATTCAGATTTCTAAATAAATTTATATCTTATACCACTCTTCTTTATTGCAGCTAGGATGTATGACATTTTTTTTAAAATTAAATGTTTTCAATTCATTCATTGTGAAATACTCCTGTGGTTTTAATCTTTGGCTGTTGTCTATCATCAAGTGCTCCCTTTAGAGGGTCCCTCCTTGCCTTTTTAAAGTATGAGTTTGGCGAAGTTTTTCTTCATTTTCTATTATGTGATTACAATAGTTTAAATATAATAATCAGATGAGACTGGGTGCTGTGGCTCATGCCTGTAATCCCAGCTATTCGAGAGACTAAGACAGGCAGACCACTTGAGGTGAGGAGTTGAAGGCCAGCCTGGACAACATGGTGAAACCCCATTTCTACTAAAAATATAAAAATTAGCTGAGTGTGATGGCATGTGCCTGTGGTCACAGCTACTAGGAAGGCTGAGGCAGGAGAATCACTTGAACCTGGAGGCAGAGGTTGCAGTGAGCCGAGATTGCACCACTGTATTTCAGCCTTGGCAATAGAGCAAGACTCAGTCTAAAAAACAAACAAACAAACAAAAAACAAAGACAAAAAAACTTAGAAATACAGAAATATTAAAATTCTTACAACTTTTATACTGCCTAAATAGATGCTAAATGGCCATCTTTTTTTGTTGTTTATTTTATTTTATGATATTGCCATATTGCAGAATTACAATGGACAAGAAAAAGAGGAAAAAACTCAGCTAGATAAATTTTATTTTACTTTTGATCCCTGCATAAAGTTTTTCTTATATTTTACCTGTTGGAACTTTTATATCATACACATTATAATCCTAACACCTCATAAAGTTCAAGCATAGGACAGCAGAGAGAATAACTAAAACAGGTCTAACAATTTTTAACAGTCCAATTCTCCTCTTGAAATGTTGACATAATGTTTCTTTTTGAAAGAGAATGAGTGTTAACTAAGGATAATGCCTGTTCAAAGGTCATTGTACTTTGAATACTTATCCAGTATTTGCCTTGTATCAGAGAACCATCTGTGACCGAATTGATACAAGAACAGGAGAAAGACCAGCAGTGGCTGACATTACACTCCAACTGGGAGACTCTCAATGGGACCACTTTACATGAACTTCTAGTAAATGGGTAAGAACACTTTCATACGAGCTGTGTAGAGTCAGATCATGGAACAAGAGTTTATCATTGAGCCTTTCTTCCATTTTTTAACTTAAGATAACTCAAATTTGTCATATCAGTAAACAGATTCCATAGAATGGCTGTTTCCTTTACAGTTCAGCATTGATTGCTTTTATCTCTTCTTTCTAGGCATAGGTTTTTTTTTTTCTCTCATTTATTCATGATTATAGACACTATCAAGGTGAGAAGAGAGGCACTTGGGCTCTAATCTTGGATTTCTTTTAATATCTTATTCAAAATGAACCCACATGTCTGCATCTCCTACAGATGCTGCATAGAACTAGTTAACAGAGGGAACTGAAGTCATGATAACTAAGAAAACTTGGAAAGTGTAAGAGAGAAACAGACACAAATGAAATGATAATCAAGTTGCCTTGAAAGTGCACTTAAGTTTCTCCTGAAAAATCATGGCATTTTAAACAGGGTGGCTTCCCTGGTCTATGGGTGGGGTGTAAGAGGAAAAGAAATTGAGAAAATTTACATTTATTAGGTTCTTATTACATTATAGACACACAGGTAGGTAGTCTTATATTCACTAAGTCATTTAAACCTCATAATAGACTTGTGAACCATGGATGATTATCCAAGTTTTACAGCTGAGGAAACTAAAGTTTAGAATATTTAAATAACTTGCCCAAATCTCATAGCCCACAGATGCTAAGTGATAGTGTCTAAACTCTAAATAAGTTTATCTGACTCCAAAGCTCATAAATGTAACTACCTCTTAAGAATTTTAAAGAGGAAAACTAAAAATGGACCATTTCCTCTGAAAAGGTCTTGACATTTTTCTCATAGAACACACTCTGCAGCCAAATTTTTGAATATTTATTAACTAAAGTACTTCCTTTAAAACAATGACCTGAATCTTTTAACAAAGTGATTTGTTTTCCCACACTTGGAATTCCAGAAAAAAACTTTTAGGGCAAGTAAATGAATAAATAACTCAGTCTGGATTGGGACTTGGTAAACTTTGTTTTAGTCCTGGCTTACTTCTAGAAGTGTTATTTTATATAACTGCAGTTTCCAGTAAGAAGTTGGATGAATAGTCTTTGATGACTTTTCTGATTCCTAAGACTATGTGTTTTCAATCTAACAAATAAGAACTAATTATAAGTATTTCTTTTTTTCCTTTGAGATGGAGTAACGCTCTGTTGCCCAGGCTGGAGGGCAGTGGTGCAATCTCGGCTCACTGCAACCTCCCCCTCCTGGGTACAAGCGATTCTCCTGCCTCAACCTCCTGGGTACTGGGACTACAGGCAAGCGCCACCAAACCCAGCTAGTTTTTGTATTTTTAGTAGAGATGGGGTTTCACCGTGTTGGCCAGGATGGTCTCTATCTCCTGACTTCATGATCTGCCCACCTTGGCCTCCCAAAGTGCTGGGTTTACAAGCGTGACCCACTGTGCCCAGCCAAGTATTTCTTTTACACCAGGTTCAGTGTTAGACTTTGAGGGAATATAGAACTGAATGATGGGAAACGAAGGCCCTGATCTCAGGGAACATACACTATGTGGGGCGAACAGAAAGATTACAAGTTAGTAAACAAATGATTTCAGACCTTGGTAAGTGCTGCAAATAAATTTAGGATAATGTAATAGAGATTAAGGAAGAGAATTTAGACTGTAGGAGGGTAGAAAGCAAATGAGCTTTTCCTCTATTCTATAATTTATTATATGCAAATAATTACATGTGCCACTGTGTAAATTTAGCAAGAAATGAAAATACAGTAAATCTTTAGAGAGAAACATGGAAACTATATATTTAGGGTTCGATTTTTTTTTTTTTTTGAGATGGAGCCTTGCTCTGTCACCCAGGTTGAAGTGCAGTGGTGCGATCTCAGCTCACTGCAGCCTTCGCCTCCTGGATTCAAACAATTCTGCCTCAGCCTCCCGAGTAGCTCGGATTACAGACATGGGCCACCATGCCTGGCTAATTTTTTTGTATTTTTAGTAGAGATGGGGTTTTATCATGTTGATCAGGCTAATCTCAAACTCCTGACTTTGTGATCCGCCCCCCTCAGTCTCCCAAAGTGCTGGGGTTACAGGTTTGAGCCACCATACCTGGCCAGATTTTTTTTTTTTTTTAATTTGAGAGATCTAGGATTCTAAGTACATCATAGTATTTTTGAAAGTCCCAATATGTTTTTATTTTTAATCTTTTTTCATTTATGTTGAAGTTGTAATGTAAATGTTTCACGGGTGGAAGAAAACTTGGTGATTAAAATTTGTACCCTAAACTGAATTATCTCATGCCATCACATTGAAAGATCCTTTAACAGGGACCATGTTTTGCATTCAAAATTGAACTTAAATTTTAGAAAATTCTTTTTCTGAACCCACAAGTCGTGTAAGTTGTACCTACTAGTTCTGATGATGTTGTCTAAAGTTATATGAAATAAATTTAAGCTCATTTTTCTCTTATCAACTTCTCATAAAATCAAAATTTAACCTTGAGAGTCTTAGTAAGACTCTTTTCCAGTCTAAATTCTTCATTCCTTTATCTGTTCTTTAAACTTCTGAAGTCATATTTTTACTCATCTTGGACTATTTTTCAACTTGTTTTGAGTGCACGCCACTTTGTATAAGCATAAAAATCTATCATGCTGCCTCCTCAACATTGATTCTAAAAAGCACTCCCATCTCCCCTTGAGAATTATAGTTTGAATTAACATTGTGGTGGTACCATCAACCCAAATGATATGGGAAATTTTGTTAAAATAGTTTCTTTTTCCGCAAATGTGAAATTACATTATGATGATATTAAATGAACTAAAAAATGACATGCATATTTTCCATATACTCCCACCCTCAATGTGATTAATATCTGACCACATTCCTGTCTTGAGAATTCCTGCACTAAGAGGAATCATTACTCAGACAATGTGATTTCCAATTGTAACAGTTGGACCTGTCTTGTTTTTCACTGGTAAAGTGTTTGAAGTGAACAGTAAATATGTAACTTACCATTGTATCATTTTTTGTTTCCAAATCCAGGCAGCCCTGTCAGAGCAGAAGTAAAATTTCTCTTCTGTGTACTAAACAAGGTGAGAGAATTAGAGATGTGGCAATGGGATTTGAACTTAATTGAACTGGATTCACTTGGGGGAAGAGTGATTGCTTGTATATGACAGTAAATAGCTAAGCATTTAGCAAGGTTTGGCATCAAATCACGTACTGTGTCTTCTGCTCCTTGGTAGACTGTGGGCGACGGCCGGCTGCCCGAATGAACAAGAGGATCCTTGGGGGTCGGACGAGTCGCCCTGGAAGGTGGCCATGGCAGTGTTCTCTGCAGAGTGAACCCAGTGGACATATCTGTGGCTGTGTCCTCATTGCCAAGAAGTGGGTTCTGACAGTCGCCCACTGCTTCGAGGGGTAAGCTGCCCCTTTCCTTTTTTCGTTTGCCTGGATTTGATCACTTTGTCACTTGGGAATTCTCAGTGGCATATGTAACTCCATGAAGCCACATCAAGATGAAAGCCACAGCTAATCTACTTGCCAGGCCTTTATCTTCCTAAAGTTTTCTGTCCTCGGTGTTGCCATCTAATATATGGGCTGCCCATTTGTTGGAAATGGATGCATATTGCCTCTGATTTTTGCCCTAAGGAGGGAAAGAGAGAGAAAGAAGTTTAGAAGATTGACCCCCTGCTACTATCAGTCTCTTTCCTAGACCTCTTAAATATATCACATATATAATAACTTAAACATAAGTGATTTATTTAGATACTGCAATGAGGTTTGGATGCAGAAGCAACTGGTGAGTAGTTTGGGAAGCAGAGTTAAAGGTATAATGTGTGCAACATATGTGCTATTCAGAGTGTGTGTGTGTATTTGTGTGTATATAGATAGAGGTTATGTTATGCCATTTTATGTTTCCAAATCTAGGGAGGCTTGTCATAGCAGAAGTAAGATTTCTCTTCTGTGTGCTAAACAAGGTGAGAGAATTAGAGGTGTGGCAATGAGCTATGAACTTAATTGAACTGGATTAGCTCAGGGGAAGAGTGATCCCTTGAGCCCATCCAAAACAAACCAAATGAAAACACAAACAAAACAATGATGACAAACAAAGTTTTGTTTTGACATGATTGGCTCATGTGATTCTGGCAGCTTGGTAAGCCCAAAGCCTGATGAGGTAGGTGGTAGGCAGGAAGATCAGACAAGAATTGCAGTTCAATCTGCTGGTAGAATTCCTTCTTGCTGGAAAGGTCAGTCTTTGTTCTATTAAGATTTTCGTCTGAATGGGTAAGGCCCGTCCACATCATGGAGTGTCATCTGCTTTACTCAAAGTCTGCTGATTTAAACATTCATCTCATCCAAAAACGCACCTTCACAGCAACGTCTAGAACAATGTTTGGTCAACTATTTGGGCACTGTGGCCCAGCCAAATTGAGACATAAAATTCACCATCACAACATGCCTGAAGAGAGCAGAAGAATAAAACTAAGGAAAACCTACCCCAAACTGACCGTCACTACAGAATCTCTTCCAGCTCTCTAAAGCTATGTAATTTAGTCTCAAATAAATAAATAAATAAATACATAAAACCAAAACGAAACACAAACAAAACAATGACAACAAACAAAAACTCAGACATTTATTGTGCTCACTGAAGATACCGTAAGTGAGACATTCAGACAAAGTGTAGTTGGCATAACTTGTCTCTACTCTGTGATTTTTGGGGCCTCAGCTGGAAGATTCCAAGGCTAGGGAGAGGCTGGAACCATCTGAAGTCTGATAGTAGACAGTGCCTGTCGGCTAGGGCCTCTGTTCCTCTCCATATGAGACACTTTATGGTGGTTGGCATCTTCCAAAGCAAGCTTCCCAAAAAGGAAGCCAGGAGGAAGCTGTATTGCCTTTTTTGACTCAGCACCCAAAGACACATGACATTGCTTCTCCTACATGGCTGCCCAGAGCCATCAGTCACAGGCCCCATCTGATTCAAGGGGAAGAAACACAGACCTCCTACATCAAAGGACTTGAGGACAGGTTTTGAAAACCACCATACTACCCATTTTATTGTATTTATTTTTAATAATTTTACTTTATTTAAATGAAGTAATATTAAATAGCAAAAAACTTGAGATAAAAATAATTCACAGGTCTGTTACTAAATCAAATGGATTATTTTCATTTGATCTGATTAGTTTCTAGGAAAAAATACAATTTCATTTTCACCTATTTGCTTATTATTATTTTGTCTTAGCTTTGCCATTTATTGTGTGACCACTGGCCAATTAAATAACTTCTCTGGGTCACTGTTTTCTGTTATGTGAAATTAAGGAAATAATAATCCCTACCTCACAGAGTTGGTGTGGGCATGAAGTGCAATAGTCTATGTAGAGTTTTCATAACTATGCCTGGTATCAACTAGTAAGACACCAAAAGGTAAACTTTTCTTTTAAAAAAACTATCACTAAAATCATGCATTCTACATTTTCCCTTAGCATATGGCATGAGTATTTTTGCATTTTGCTGGCACTATTTCTCATCCCACACTCATTCTACTTTAATTCCCGATCATCCTTAAGGTAACCTCTGTTAGTGCATTATGAATATTCTCTCACAGATATAAACACATATATTTTTCACAAGGCATCATTGTTTACTTTTACAATTGGGAATAACACTCTATAATTTTGTTTGTAAGTTGCTTTTCTCATGTAACAATATATCATGGACATCTCTCCAGGTAAAGTGATGTAGCTCTAACTCATTTTTTTAAAAAGCCAAATAATATTATATCTGTAGATTTACTATAACTTTTACAACTATTCCCCAGTTGATGGACATTTGGTTTAGTTCCAGTTTGCTACCATTTGAACAATACTAGCATTTTTAAAGAAAGCCACTCACCTATTGGCACTGTTGTTTCTAGAGGACACAGTCCCAGCACATACCTGTAGTTTCACAAGGAGGATACAGAGAGGGATACATGTTTTGTTCTCTAAGGGGCTAATGCAGTGACAAGACAGAAATTTAAACAGGTAATTAGAATACAGTGTGATAGTGATGATAAAATGGGAATGTGTATATCCAGTTATTTGATTGCTATCTTTGGAGAAATAAAACATTAAAAAAAATCAAACCAACACCTTCAACACCTCTCTTGAGAGTTTTTAATGTGTAAAATCCAAAATTATTGGAAAAGCCTGCATCGTATGTCAAAAAACACACTGGCATGTTATTGCTTTAGAAGGGGTCAGCTGTCTCCACATGTCTTTTCCAGATCTAATTTGTAACTCTAATTTGTAAGAAGAAGGTTATACTAGCAAGAGTATATTCATCAAGAGATGATTACCTAGATGAATCCAACAGTTTTTTCAGGGAACAGCACTCTTTATGTGCTAGTTCATCTAGGTTCATACCCCACTTTTGTTATTTCCATATGTGGTATCCAAGTTTCCTCTTTCACTGGCAGAGGAAAGAGTAAAGCTCAGGGGAAACCTTGCAATAGAGAAGAAATATGTGTTTGTAATTAAGGACATGTACATAATATCAAAGGCCTTGGTGAAGTTTCTTGGAAAACAAAATTGAACGAAACTGTCGAGAGAGGCCTGGCCTACCCATAAGAAGTTAGAAAATGCCCTCCTTCAAACGAGCCTTTGCTTGAATGTGTGCTAATAACCCTGAATCTCTTTTTTAATTTCTCCAGTGGTGTGGCAAACTTTTGGGAACTTCTAATTGTAAGCCATACTCCCTGCTGGAGCCATCAATTATAGCAATTAACGGGATTTACTTTATATCCTGATCCCATCCTTTGGCAAGGGCTGGAGTGACCCATTGGTGGGTCTTCTCAGCCTGGCTCTTTTAATTATATTTATGGGAAAAAGACAAGTTCATTTTGCTCTTCTAGGAAGAGGTAGTTAAAAATCCCAAATGACAATTAAAAATCGTAAGATAGTTGACCAGATCAAGCCCCATCTGTCCTAGTAATAATTCCTTTCAAAAGTTCTAAGGAAGAAAGGCTTTGACTTTTGTGGGGTAATTTAGCAAGCAATTTTCCTGCTTTCTTCCACTTCTGAAAGACTTATGAATGAACTTCCTAGGCTGGCACACAACTAGTAATGATCAGAAACATCTGATTCCTCTCCAGGAAATCCACATGAAAAACTGTCTTCCCGCTATATGACCACAACCCATACTCCTGCCACTCCATCGCCCATGTCTTGATCCCCTCCACATCAGCTGTTCAATCCAGTAAGATTTTTGGTTGGTGGCTGCACTTTCTCCCCTAGTATCTCAGTCCAAAAAATCTCCTCACCTCCTTTCTTTCCCTCAACTTAATCTGGTTCCCTGGGCTCATTACTTCAGTCCTTTCACCAGGACCTTGGAGTCTTCCTAGATCTTTCCAACACTCTGGGCAGACCTCCAAAGTGAAGACCACGTTTTCTTTTTTCTTTTGAGCCAGAGTTTTTTTTGTTTTGTTTTGTTTTTGTTTTGAGTTGGAGTTTTGCTCTTGTTACCCAGATTGGCGTGAAATGATGCAACCTTGGCTCACTGCAACCTCTGCCTCCTAGGTTCAAGCCATTCTCCTGCCTCAGCCTCCCAAGCAGCTGAGATTACAGGCACCAGCCACCACGCCCAGTTACTTTTGTATTTTTAGTAGGGACAGGGTTTCACCATGTTGGTCAGGTTGGTCTCGAACTCCTGACTTCATGTAATCCAACTGCCTTGGCCTCCCAAAGTGTGGGGATTACAAGCATGAGCCACCGTGCCCGGCCTACATTTTCTAGTCCTATATCCACGCTCTTCAGAACTGAGGAAGAACATTACTGAAGAATGCAGATTACTGCCATGCCTGACTTTCCACATCAGTTGGACCCTTAATATTATTCAATAATCTTTCCACCTATTTTTAAACAGCTGCCTCTATTTCCCACAGAACAAAATCTTTGTTCTTGCTTGCTGCCTGCCCTTCACAGTCTTTTAATACACTGTGAAAAGGAAGTGAGAAGTTTGGTCTTTTTATTACTGAGCCCATGCTGTAAACTTCTGCCTACTTCTTTATCTTCTAGGAGTGTATCAACTGTGCAAGTCATTCACAGTTTAATTTTCCATTCCACCTACTCTAAGGATTTAGCCCATTCCCATCAGAAGTAATGTCACTACAAGAAAAAGTCTGCATTTTAGATCCTTACCTCCCATGGGGTGCCGTTTCTCAGCATCACTAGGAAGTAAGCAAATGTGGCTTTAAAAATCCCTAGGTGACTCTGACGTTACCTCATAGTCCCCACTGCCCTGCCCCCTATGGACGTGTTTTCTGTCACTCTCCCCTCTCCACTGGAAATGTCTGAGTCTATAATGTAGCTAGCAGTTGATCTAATGTGCAATCCCATTGTTTTGGGGTCTTCCAGAAACTTGGAGCTCTCTCATTT